ATTGGCAATTTAGATGAAAATTATCTAGATTTCATCAATCTTTTTCAAGTGTTTTCTTTAAAATGGATACACATCGCTGTTGTCTTGGATCACACTTACTGTGGTGAAGTACTTTTCATGGAAGTTGTTGGATCATTTTCTTTTGTCCTTTGCCTTGTCTCTGTATCCTTAATCCTTTTATGCTCATGGTATCTCTAATTTTCTAACACGTAGAACACTTGCATGGTTAGATTAACTTACACTATTTTTTTTTCTTTATCTTCAATTGCACAATAAGAAATAATTATTTCCTATTACTTTGAATATCGAACTTGAATGTAAAATCTTTTACTTTGTACATAGACAACTTTTTAAAAAAACTCTAACACTTGTTTGAATTGAAGAAGTTAGAGAGGAAGGAGAGGAGAGTGAGGGAGAGAGAGTAACTTCTTTTGTTTGGATATATTTTTTTAATGGAGGGAGGAGGGAGATGGAGTCTTTTCCTCTCTTCTGTTTTTAATCCTTTTGATTTGGAAGGAATGAGATTGATTATATTATTTAATTTATTTTTATTTTTATTTTTATTGAACTCTATACACTTATTATGGGTCAGTTAGATGAAGCTATCGGTGGCGATTTTCGATTCTTCTTACACTCCACCGCTGTGTTTCTCGTCTCCTACACATTCTAACCCTCCATCATCTCCCTCACAGGCTCTGCCAATTCTTTCCTCGTCACCTCGTTCTCAACCCCTATCCCCATCCCCCAAGTGGTACAGGTATACTTACAATGTACTTGCTGTTCTGCGAAAAATGGCCATGACAACATTGAAACCCCACCGCAGATTCCCTCCACCGTTGCGTCAGAAATGCCCCGACTGACGGATGCCCCAACACCTCATTCTGTGGACACCAGTTCACAATCAAACCCCCTGTTCTCTATTTCCTTAACAAACTCCTCTGGCAACCTCGACGCATGCCCCATCACAACATCGGGTCGTAGCACCCACAGAAAAAGAGTGTCCGGTATTCGTGAGTCCCCATGCAAATTCTGCGAAGTTCTCCGTCATCACCGCAATACTACCGTAATGGACACAAATAACGGACTTGGGTCGTTGTTTGTCTATCCAAGTGAGGCAGTCTGCTGTGTTCTCCTTCCACAGCCTGGAATGGATCGTGTGGTTTGGGATTTGGGGTGTGTTTTGCAGAGTGTGGAGAGCGGGCCGACGTAGAATACATCAGGGAAGATGGCAGAGATGGTGTTAAGAACTTGGCGTTCGAAGTCGTAGAAGGTATTGATGATGATTCCATCTGATTTCAAAGTGTCTCGTGCTTCTTCCAACCACCTGTTGAAGGCAATGTCGTCTGGATTGGTGCTCCCGACGAAACTCGACACGTCCTCGAGTCTCTCATGCTCCATTCCTCGTATCCATTGTCAGTTTCCAAGTTACCATTGCTATTTGCTAACATCTCTCTCATCTGGTTTGTTTTTTTTTTTTTTTTATACACAATGGGAAGCAATTATTTTTTATTTTTTTATTTCAGTACACGTGCATGTCATATAACTGGAACTAAATATCTCTTACTTCCAATAAAAAGAGATCACTACTAAATTATTTAAATCGTTTTTTCTTATCTGATGATCAAGGAAAATAATAATAATAATAAAATTAATTACTCAAAAAATATATTTATAAATTTGTCTCGTGTAAAAAGGTGTTAGGACTCTTTTTTGGATATTCTTCATAAAATTGGATTACAAGACACATAGATTTAATATAATTATTGATTAATGATTCACATTAAAGTTATGTTTTTAAATTTTAAAATTATAACTAATCATATTAAATTTATGAGTTATAAACTCAAGTACCTAAAAAGTGTTGCTAAAAAAGTATTTCTAGCATTCATCACTTTTAAGTAATGATTTTAATTATATAATATAGACACATTACTTTTTCTTTTTTTGCTTATCTATGTATAATAGTAATTTCAGTTGTTAAAATGACTTTCAGTTTATTTCATATCATATATAAAAGCATTACATGAGAAAAAAAAAAAATCAAAACTACCTATTTTGCATTTCATATGATTTGTTCCTCATCTCCTTCCCTTCTCCCTTTCCATCATTTTCCTTACTAGCTCTACCAGTTCGTCCCTCTTCACCTCATTCTTGACCTCTGTCCCCATCCCTCCACGCGATACAAGCATACTGACAATTAGCTTGTTACCCCACGAAAAATGGCCATGACAACATCAGAATAGCACCACAGATTCCCTCCACCGTTGAATTCCACCCGCTGTTTGTTAGAAACACTCCAATTGACAAATGCCCCAGCACTTTATCTTATGGACAACCAACTCACAATCAAACTCTTATTCTCCTAAAGGAAAAAAAATTAAGAAATCCACTATAAAGAGTAATTCAACTAGTTAATAATTTGAAATTTGAAATTAAAAATTAAAAATTTAAACTTTAAATCAAATAAAAAATAATTAAAAAAAATCTCTTTTTATATACTTCATAATTAAATGTATTATAATAATAATAATAAATCAGTATTCTTTATGTCCTTAATAAACTCCTTCGACCAACGAAATGTTGGATCAAGTGGTAAACGGCTTATTCCAACTTAAACAAGATTTCAAGTTTAAGATATTGTGTATGCAGCAGTTTTTATTGGGAGACTCATCCACTATTTTTAAGTACAAATGTGGATTAATCCGAATTAGTTGGGACGAAATATCATATAACAGACGAAAATCAAAAATAAACAAACTCCTTCGGCAGCCACCCCATCACATCATCAAGCCTTAACACCCACAAAAATGGTCGTTCACCATTCGCAAGCCCTAAGCTT